CCATCCCCTGAATGCATTCCAGCCACACCGAGCTTCCTCCACGGCCGCTCCCGCCTGCAACGCATTCCTGTTCCCTTGGCATCCTTCCCTCTGCCAACGCCTCCTCATGCTTCACGCAGCACCTCCCTCAAGAAGTCTCCAGTCTTCCAGGGGTCGGTGAAGTGTCCCTCCACTAGGCACCTGTCACAGTCCAGGGTGGTTGCTTATTAACTCATCTGTCTCCTCAGCTAGACTGTGGACTCTGGGAGGGCACCACGGGGACCCTGTACCGACAACCTGTGCACAGCTGTATCCCTATGTCTGACCCAGACCGAACACTCCATCAATACTTATGGAAGGAGGGAAGGAAGACGACGTTCTTAAAGAAAAGGACTCTGGACCAGAATAAACAGGATTTTAGGGAGTGGAGTGAAGGTTGTCCAAGTACAAGTGTCCCCTAAGGGAGACAAAGTTGGACTCCACAGCCACCTGTAATGGTGACCTAATATTTGCAGCCCTGAGAGTGCAGTGCTGGAAGCGGGTAGGGGAAGGCATGGCCTCCTGGAAGCCGAGAAGGCACAGAGCCAGGGGGCTGCCCCACCAATGTATTTGTGAAAGAAAAAATAGGGATAAGAGAGAACTTTTGGAAAGAGGGCACAGGGCAGGCTTACCCAGCACACCAGCTGCCTGAGCCTTCTGTGGAGCACATACAGCCCTGACCCTCCCACTCAGCTATGGAATGCGGGTCCTGCATGAACAGAGACAGGCAGGCGCTTCACAGTACAGGAACAAAAGTGTATGTGTGTCGGGGGGTGCTGCTGAGGAAGGGGGATAGGGAGGGAAAAAGAGAAGAATATTCTCTCATTTTAGAAGCAGACAGTTTCCACAAATAAGAGTGAAAACTCTGGGTTCTCTTTCAATTTTGCCCTCAATGTAAGGCAAATTCCTTTGCTTTCCTGGGTCTGTTTACTTACCTGCAAAATGAAGGTAGTGGGCCATTTCTAAGATCCCAGGGATACTGGGCAGCTGTAAGTTGGTGCGTATCCTCTGGCACCTCCATACTTCTGCAGCTAGCCTTCATGTAACACAGCCCTCCCTTCGGGTATTTGTTTGTTTATGTGAAGCCAAAGCTGAGAAAGTGGTTTCCTAGCCCTTTCCCAGCTCTCTTGGCACCTGCACCTCATCTATCAAGGAGCATATTACCCTTCTAGTTGTGGAGTACCAAGGCCGTAGACCAAGGAGGAGCCCACCAGGTATCAGTCCCCTCTCTCGTCTGAAATCCCATGAAGGCTGACCTGCAGACGCCAATGCAGATTTAGACAAGTTCTTGTGTCATTCTTGCATTAACCTATGGATGTTTCCCAGGTAGGTTTTAAGTTCTTTGACAATCACTAGACATTAGAGTGGAGAGTCAATAGAGGTAGTATCTCCTGAAGAGGAAACAGAGGCCCAGAAAAATCTGAGCCTGGCTCAAGATGGCAGCCAGTGAACGCCAAGCTCTGTCCTCATCCTTCCCAGCACAGCACACCTCAGAGAGACGGCAGGACTGGTTCCTCCTTTCTTCCTCTGTCCCTGGGAAAGTGCAGGCTGTGGCCTTCCCCCCATCCCATCCTCTCATCCCCCTGCCTCAGGAGCTGGAAATCCGAGAGGATGCAGTCCACATGCAAGCAACTGCCTCTCTTCTCCTTCTAGGCTCCTAGGACCTATGATACAACACAACCACTCTGAGACCGCCTTGCTTCCTAACATCTGTACAGCCCCTCAGCCTTCCAGGAATCTTCACATTTGTTATTTTGTTTGATCTTCTCCCCACACCTCACACCTGCATCCTTCCACTGGACAGACGAGGCCAAGATCAAGTCTACCTATAGTGCCCAGCCTAGGCTGCTGCAGCGTTGGACAGTGGCTGTCTGAGTCCAGCGGCCTCTGGCTGTGAAGCATGTCCATGACCCCTACCACGTCCATAAACTTCAACCCAGAGAGCCGCAGAGCTGCTTCAGCCGAAGTCTTGAGATGGTCCTTGTCTACCAAAGTCCCATTTTTACTTAGACACTTCCTAACAGTAGACCTGACATAAGAACGTCTATCCAGATCCCTTAGCAGCCCCTGGCTTCATCAGCCTCTCCAAGGTCACACACTGACCCTTTCCCCCACCCACCAAAGCCAAATAAGGTGGACACTGCCTTATTTGCAGTAGTGATGACCCTGACTTATCGTCAACCAAGTCCTCAGCAGAGAATCTGCTTCACCCTGAGCCTTCGCTGAAGGTACCATCTTGCCCAAGCATAACGTTTGAAGTCTTGGTATTAAGAAATTCTTCCTTTTTCCCTCCCTCCTCCTCCCACCAGGGGCCAAATGCCAAAAGTCATACTTAGAATTTGCAAAACAATTCACCAAAAGGAAGCTGGGTTTGATGTTAGGCAGGAGACAAAATCAGCCTTCACCTTCGCCCTCCTGGAGTGTTAGATTATGTGAGCTTCTCCACCTCTTTCAAACCTGTACCCCCAGCATCAAGCACTACCCTAGGACATGGGCACTCAGCACGTTGACGCAGTGAACTTATTGGGGTTTCAGCTCCTAATGAACCACAGCCTTGGGGCACGGGGGAGACTGCCCATACACAGGAAATGTGTACGGGATATTATGGGAGCATGTCTGTAGAAGAACCACTCCAGCCCTCGAGGTCAGGGAAGGCATCTCAGGGGAGTATCTTCTGTGAATAGATGACCGCATCGAACTGCTTCCAATGAATCCCTGGTCTCCAGTAACTGGTGACATCTGAAACCTACCAATCCTTTCACTTAGGATGAAACACCTCCAAATACAGGTTTGGAAATGCCAGCTTGAGCACTGCCCATACACCGGTACCTTTTTTCAACCTTCCTAAGCACAGGGCAACTTGGTGTGTGAAATACCTTGCCACCCACCTCTTCAGTTTCCAAAGCTGAGCATCTCTGGCTGCTGGATGAGGCAGGTCACTGGATAAATGCAGAGAGGGCTGTGAACAGTGGCCTGGATCTCACTGGGGCAGTTGGAAATTGAAAACCATTGGAATGTGCTTTGGGTTAGCAGAGGTGACCTTGAAAACACAGGCGGGCACCAGGGAACCACAATCAGCAGACTCGAGGCTCTGACTGGGAAACAGAAACCTGGAGCCCATCAACAGTCTGTTCAAGCTGGAGACCTGATAGGTCTTTCCCTCCAGGGGCAAAAATTAGGAAACAACTTGATTGCCAAGGGCAGCTGAGAAAAGAAGTAATGCATGGAATTTTGCTTTGTTAAATGAGCCAACACAGGGAATAAAGATCATAAGAAAGGGAAGGCAGGCAGTCTATGATTGGTGAAGGCAAGAAGGACCAGCAGCAGCCTGCGATGCCCATCTGACATTATCTATGAACAGCGAAGACAGGCTCTTTCCCTGGCCCTTATCTTTAACTCTTTGGGGAAGGCGTGTGTCAGAGGTAGGCCTACCAAGAGCAGACAGGCAGCAAAGCCCACCGCATCCGACACATGCCCTGTGTAACCCTTAGCAGAGGAGAGGATTTGAGGCTTATGAGTTTTACTTACTGTAATCCTAAGAAAGAAAGCAGGTGCCTAATTGATCCTACAGACTTCTCAACCCTGCATGCCCATTACAATCACCTGGGAAGCCTTTGTATAATTACTTTGTATATATACTTTGTATAATGTACTTGACCTTACCCCAGACCAATTAATCAATCTCCAGAACAGTTTTTTGGGTTTGGGGGGTGTTTTTTGTTTGTTTTTTTTTTTTCAAAGCTCTCCAGGTAATCCCACTGTGCAGTTAAGATTAAATTAAGAAAATCTCTGTTTTAAACTAATCAAGCCTGGAGAATTCCAAGTTGACCAGATACTGTTTCTCTAACACACAGGTGGACAGAGGCCTGCTCTGTACTGAGAAAGGAAGTAATGCATGGAATTTTGCTTTGTTAAATGAGCCAAAACAGGGAATGAAGATCCGAAAAAAGGAAAGGAAAGTAGTCTGACTGGTGAAGCAGCCTGTAGTGCCCATCTGGCATTATCTATGAACAGTGAAGACAGGCACTTTCCCTGCTTCAGGCTGAGCGTCCCTTCCCAGTGTGGCCCAGAAGACCAGGTTTACTGCTACGTCCCCATAGGGCACTGAACAAGTACTTCGATCACTTGGTTTAATATGGTTTTCCAGGTGACACCTACAGTTTTCCCAGGTACCAGGAGCCAGACCAATGTTTGCTTCAAGCCGGAAGAGTCAGGCTTGGGGAGGAATGTTGAAACCACAGAACTACCTGCCTCCTTCCAGGACTAGGACCCAGCATTTGCTGGCCCTCCCCGGCGGGGAAAGGGCTCGTGGACATTCACACAAGGAGGTGGCTGTGGTCATTTAAAGAAAATAAGGTGTTTTTCAGGCTTCCTCTTTTCTCTTTCTTGTGAATCCCTCCTTACAAACTTCGGTCTCGTTGTTTCCTGAGGTTGGGCAGAGACTAGCTAAAAGATACTTGGAGCAAAGGCCAGTCTAGCCGATAAGTTCTGTTCAGTATTATCAGTAGCAATTAAGTTACATTTCTGAGAGCTGGGGGAAAGAAAATACTTTATGTGATTCGGGAATACATTTTTTTATAGATTAGAAATGAGACTTAAGACTGCCTCCCTTCTCCACAGCTACCCTCCCCTTGCCCACAGCCAAACTTCCCCACAGATTGATTCTTGCAAGGAACAAAGACACAGATCTTTGGAAATTAATACCAATGGTATAACAGTAACACATTCCCAACACCTCAAACCACATTAGTGCAAAGTGCTGTGCTGAATTACTGGTCAACATGGGCAGACGGTTTGGACATTAGCCAGTTCCTGGATGATCTAGGATCCAACTGAACGTTCTAACAGAAGTTAGCAAACTTTTTCTGTAAAGATCCAGACAGTAAATATCTTAGGATGGGCCATGTTGCCCCTGTCACTCAACCTTGCCGTTGCAGTGTGAAAGCAGCCATAGACAAAACGTAAGCACGGCTGTACTGGTATGACTGTATTCCAATAAAATTTTATTTACAAAAAGACGCAGTCTGGATTTGGTAGTTTGCTGATCCCTTTCTACCAGAACATTTCTTCCATAGATTGAACTGAATGACATTTAATGGGTGACAAATAAAGAAGAAAGAATGACATGGTAAAAGACGGATATGGATTTAATGACAAATATTCCATATTGGTTGCTGAACAGCAGAATGCTGTCCAAGGAACCATCATTAAATAAAACCACCTGAAAATAAGGCAATTCTCACATACACAATCACACACTCACACAAGACCTGTTACTTTTAGGATCATTAAATTATTCACTATTTTAACAAATAGCTGTAAAATAACATTACAGAGAAGGAAAATGTGCACAAACTTCAGAGACACAGTTCAGATTGTCTATGAACACACGTTCTTAATTTGTACTTTTTCACGTATGTACAGCCTCTTGATCTTGAAGAGACCACATGGCTCAAGGGGTTAACTTCTCATCTTCTCCTTCCAACTCAGAGCTCAAGATTTAATCTAGTCAAGCTGCTCCAGGTTTTGCTCAGTAAAGGGCAGCCTGAACTTGACCAAACTCCCTACGAAACAAATGATACACTTGCCTCCACCATCATTAATAAGCTGGTAGAAGGAGTCTTCAGATTAACATTTTCAAGGGTGAACCACAGTTCACAGGATTTGCTGAAGAAATACTATTATTCTAAAACCAGACACGAGAAACGACCTCCTGAATGCATTTCACCTCACTTAATGCAGGTATGTTCCCTGAAGAATTCTAAGAAAAGTGGAATCACATTTTAAATGCACCATGAGAGTTGGGTGTTGGTGGTTCGACTGTTTTTTTCTGCTAAAGGATTTGCTCAGAGAAGGGATACTTAAGTACTAGCTGACTCTCTTATCTATAGTCATAGAAAGAACGAGAGAGGTCAATGAAATCCAGAGTTCCACTGCCAGTAAATTATCGTACATTAGCTTCAATCTCCTCTACCCGTTGAACTCTTTCTCAAAAGCTGCTGATAGGCAATGTTTGATGCAGACAAGACTGTGCAATAGTATAATGGCAGCAAAAAGCCAAATAACTCATAAAGTGGATAATCAACCCATGAATAATCAAAAGTTGGATGAGATTTCATAGGCACAGACTTGAGAAAACTTAAAACAGCTGGAAGAGGTAGATGTGCGTTTAAAAAACCACAAAGGAATAAGATTACCTACAAATTGGCTATATTATTTCCAGGTGAGTCTTATACACTTGGTATTCAGACTACAAGAGTCAGAATAAATAATGGACACTTGCCTTGCTCGAATTACTCTCGACTAAATGAAAATAAAAAAGAATTAGTGTCTTCCCCAACTATCCATATTTTGAAAACCTATTTGATTTGTGAGTAACAATAACTGATTAAGAGGGCAAGATCAACAGGCATTATATAAGCCCCAAATTCTCAGGATTTTTTTCAAAAGTGTTTTTATAACAACAAAAACATGCTTTCCTACAGTCCCCAAAGAGGTTATTTGCTAGAATACAACTAAGTGATCAAGTATAAATTACCAGCATCCACAGAAAGTTTGCTAAAACTGTAAAAACAAGCTTGTAGTTTTTTTTTTTCCTTCAAGTGTGTCCAACAGCTTGTGAAGATGCTTCCATGGAAAGTACAGGAAAACAAACGCTAGTGAAGAAAATAGTACTGCTTTCCACAACTCTAACTTCTAAAGGCTAACCTACAGAAGGGATTTTCAGCACAAGTAACTGAAATCTATACAAGAGTCATCTAACTACAGCCCCCTACGAGAAATGGAACATATTCAGGACACTCTAATTACATGACAAAGACCAGCTTTGTCAACAAGGACATCTTTGGCCCTTCTAGACTAGCCTTAAGTTTTCCATCAAGCATAAAAATTTTCAGTGTCCTTATTTTACTATATAAATCATAACAGGTAAATCTTCCTAGCAGCTGAGCTGGAGAGCACAAAAGGTCAGACCACACCGCTCCACACCGTCATCACCTCTCTTCAGAACAGCCTGCCACACCCCTGTCCCCAGGCCTCCCCTAAGACAGGGTTCATAATACTGATCCACCTCACAAAGATGTGAGAAACAACTAACAATCATTAAAAAGCATAAAGCACTTTGCAAATATAAAAGTGCTATTTTGGCATTTATATAACCACCAGAAAACATTCATTGCTTGTGCTATTTGGCAATTTTGCATTTACACCTCTCCTTGCTTGTACCTTCCTTGTGTAAGCCTTGAGCTTTCTACTGTGACTCCCTATATGAGAAAAAGAAATTCTACTCAGACTGGAGCCCATCTGGATATGGGTGGAGGTGAGAGTTCAATTATCTCGTCCATTACTACAGAGGGGGAGGGGTACACAGATCTGCAGTGAAGGCAAATGAGACAAAGGAGCTTTGCACCCCAACGTGTCAACATTTGCTTTCCTGGATTTTCACATAAGGCCAGTGAAACACCGAGCTAGCAGACTTTTGCAGCGGGTCACTGGGGCAACTGCTCATGGTGTCAGGTTCATTTGAAACAAACATCAAGCTGACCTGGGAAAGGGAAAGCCACACACAGCTGGGACTGTCCCATTTCCCTGCACTTAAAAGATCACAAGGGAGACCTGAAAGAAATACGGGGCCTGGCACACACACCTGACACCGGGGGCAGGGGGATGGTCATCCACAGAGACCACCTTGACCCAGCCCGAAGCTAGAGTGTTTTATAGAAAGTAGCAAAAGACCATGAGTAGGACGAGGATTTCCCAGGAGATCTGAGAAGCAGTTATGAATGAACTTCTAAACTTCAGAAGTTTAGAAATGCCCTAGAAATGAGGGGGTGTCGCTCTTCTGCCCAGTCTCCCCTGGATGCCTCAAAATAGTAGCTATCTATGGCTCAGAGAAAAGAAGGGAAGAGTATACAAAATGTCCTCTCCTATCGGATTGACAAGGTTCCCTTACTTTAGCAGGACTATAGCCGATGTGGGGGGGATAGAGCTAACAGTGGCTTAACACCTGGTGGGACCAGGATAAAAGTATTCATACCGACTTTTTATCTTACCCCATAACCCTTACTCCAGCCACACCTCTCCTCTGATTCCCACAGGCCATCGCAGCCCAACCTACTCTATTGCCTGACATCTTGTCCCCTACCCTCCCCACTAAAGCCCCTTCCTCAAGGTCCTCAAAGTGTCTGCTCCTCCATGCCCCTCACCCCTCTGCCGTGTATTTGAAGAACTCACCACGCTCAAGCACATCTCCCAAATGTTTTTTCATTGAGGAGGCGGCAGGCGAAATACAGCACCCCAACTCCTCCGACTCAACCCTCCCCTTCAAGACCCCCTACCACCAAAAGGCTCCCCAATCACTCTCAGATTGTCCCTCCCGCCCCTTCCCCGTCTCCATAGTTTGTCCCCAAGACATCTACTCCCCACATGCTCCCAAGAGGGCAGAACCCTCGGGCCCAGCCCTAGCACAGGTGCAGCTTCTGGTGCTGCGCGAGGTGCGTCTTGTAGCGGAAGCCCTTGCCACAGCCGGCGCATTTGTGCGGCTTGTTGCCGGTGTGGATGCGGCGGTGGCGGATGAGGTGCGAGCTCTGGATGAAGCTTTTGCCACACTCGATGCATGTGTAGGGCTTCTCGCCCGTGTGCGTGCGCTGGTGCTGCGTGAGCGTGGAGAAGTCGCTGAAGCGCTTCTCGCACTGGCCGCAGCGGAAGGGCTTCTCGCCCGTGTGCACCCGCAAGTGGTTCACGAGGTGCGAGTTGCGCCCGAAGCCCTTGCCGCACTCGCGGCACACGTAGGGCCGCTCGCCCGAGTGCGTGCGCTTGTGCGTGAAGAGGTGCGAGCTGACACTGAAGGTCTCGCCGCACTCGGAGCACATGTAGGGCTTCTCGCCCGTGTGCACCCGCTGGTGCTTCACCAGGTCCGAGCGCCAGCTGAAGCGCTTGCCGCACTCGCCGCAGCCGTGCGGCTTCTCGCCGGTGTGGATGCGCTGGTGGTTAGCCAGGTGCGAGCGGCGCACGAAGCCCTTGCCGCACTCGCCGCAGGCGAAGGGCCGCAGCGCCGCCGCTCCCGCGCCGCTGGCCGCCGCGTGCGCGCGCCGGTGGCTCAGCAGGTGCGAGCTGAGGCTGAAGGCCTCGCCGCACTCGGGGCACGGGTAGGGCTTCTCGCCCGTGTGCAGGCGCCGGTGCTTGAGCAGGTCGGCGCGCCAGCTGAAGCTCTTGCCGCAGTCGGCGCACAGGTTGGGCCGCTCGCCCGTGTGCAGGCGCAGGTGGTTGGTCAGGTAGGTGTTGCGGCTGAAGCCCTTGCCGCACTCCCCGCAGCGGAAGGGCTTCTCGCGCGGGGGCCGGGCCAGCGCAGGCCCCGCCCCGAAGCCCCCCGCCACGCCCACGCCCATCATGCCCACCACCGCGCCGCAGTCGCCCGCGAACCCAAAGGGCTCCAGGCTGGCCGCGGCGGCCGCCTCCGCCAGACAGTGAATGCGCTGGTGCTGCAGGAAGGCGGCGCCCGGGCTGAAGCTCTCCCCGCAGTCGGGGCAGATGGTGGGCGCGTCCATGATGCTGGCCATCAGGCTGTCGAGCTCCCCGAGGTCCACGGCCATGGGGTGGTGCAGCCGGCGAAAGCGGCGGTGCGCGGGCTTGTCGCCCCGGTGCCGAGTGCCCAGAGACAGATGCCGCCTCCAAGGAAGCACGGCAGGGGACGGCTGCGCTGCTTCCTCCTCTAGCCGGTTCTCCCCAGCACTCTCCTCCTTCTCTTCAGGGGGGCTCCGGGATATGCTGTCGGACTCGGACAGTCCTGGGAACATCGCCATCTCAGCTACGCCAGGTTGGTCATCCTCTTCCTCGGGGAGAGCCCCTTCTTCCTCACTCAGCAGCCCGTCTGCAACAGAAAAGGCGGCAGTGGGGGTGACTATATTTGACGCTCACAAGGTCAACCCAGGAGAAGCCAGTCTCAGTAAGAGCGTGGGCCACGGAGTAATCTCTGCTGTCTGGTGCTCTCAATCTCTTTCCAAGGTCCCCACGATTCCTTCCCACCTGGTGCTTCCCCGGGAAAACCTGAGGATCAGCGTGCTCCGCGCTCCAAAACCTGCGGAAAGCTCACTCACCTGCCCCTTAACACTCCAGTTCTTCGGGCACCTGTCTCTGGGCCTAGGCCCCACCCACGGTACCTGAGGCTCCGCTCAGCAGAGCCATCTGAAGACCCCCTGCATCAGACGGTTAAGTCTGGGCCAGGTGGGACTCCGTGGGATCTCGGAAGACATTTGCTCACTCTCAGAGCTACCAATGCCTTTCAGGGCCCTGGCCTCAAAAGACAAGTCCACTCCAGCCAAACACAAGAAAAGACCACCTGGCCTAACCAGGCCCTACACTAATGTGATTGGTCAGTCTGGAACAGCTTAAGGTGGAACAACAAACGAAACACACCCCAACTTAGGGGCTTTACTGTGTAAGGGGGGTAGGGGTAGCGCTGTGTAGGGAAAAAGAGGAAGCCGGCCCAGCTTAGAGGCTGATCCAGAACACACACCTGCCTGTCTCTGGCTGCTTATCCCCAAGCAGAGGGCACTCTAGAGAGTTACTGAGATAAGAAAGACCACGTGCTTGTGTGCACTGCAGGGGAGGGCAGCAGGGAGTCAGATGTGTCACATGGGAAGGAACGTAACCTCACAGTCCTGGCCATAAAGTATTTCAGCTCATTTCTGTCCCCAAGGCATGTGCAGAGAAGGATAAAGCAACAAATGTCTGAAGGTGGATGGAGGCCAAGCATTTACTCTTTCCAGGTCAGGAATAGCAAGGGTTTTAGTGGAGGCCTTGGGCACTCTTGGTATTAGCCACATGAACCTGGGCAAGTCACTGACTACTGAGTTTCCTTATCCTCAAAGGGAGATGCTGACTGTACCGGGAAACATCTGGATACCTTGTCTGCTCAGCACTACGCTAAGTCAGCCTTTATGTACAGCAACTCATCTAACTCGCCCAATACCCGGATGAGGCAGGTTCTGATATTACCTGTGCTCCCTCCTGTGTTGTTACAAGTGTTCATTTATAGCGCTATTCTGTATACTGTAAAGTGCTGTGCCAGTGAGTTACCCTCTTCACCCATGTTTACCAGCCAAGCCCACCTCAGACTGGACCGAAGGAAAGGATGTTCCTCAGGCTTAAGGTGGTATGCAGTCTGCTTAAAAGTCTCCTCTACAGAGCTCCCTCACCAAGAATCCTGCCCTCTGGTTATAACTCTACAGGAGCTAGAAATAAATGTGAGTGGGGCAACATCCATGGAAATTCCAGCTCTCTCCTCACCTGTGCAGATGTCAGACACTAGTTCCCTCTCCTCTGAGTCCTCTCTTAGAGCTTCATCTTCTGGGCTGGAGGCCATCTCCTGCTCTGGGTGGCCTTCTCTCTTGTCTGCGTCCTGTGGATTAGAGCCTGTTCCGCTTTCTTCTGGGTCCTCTTCCCTGTCTTCCAAGTTCTCAAAATCGGAGCCCATCCCTGTGTCTGCTGAGTCCTGGGCTTCACACAAGCCCTGTTTGTCTTCTTGTTCCATCCGGGAAGAACACGACAAGGGAGGTGACCAGGGGTGCCTGCTCCAGACAAAACACAGATAAAGGTCACATCAGTCTGGCTTTGATTTCCATGAAAATAAGTGGCACAATCCAATAACATGTACAGCATTCCAAGCCCCAGATGGCAAATCTCTGCTCCACCTCACATTTTAAGGTAAAATAGACTGAGCGCAAAGGAGGTTGGTCTGGGTGGTGGAGAAACAGTGGCAATTCATTCTAAGGCTACATGCCAACAACTCTCACTGGCCTACAATTTGATCCACTTCCATCTATGAAGTGCGTTATTCTGTTAACATGGCTTTCCAGCTTTATCAGTGGGGTAACAATGGTATTCCCATTTTACAGCTAAGAAAACTTAAAGCTCAAAAAGAAGGCCCTGCTGGCCTGTGGCTAACTTGTAAGCAGTAAAGAGGGGATAAACCAATTGTACTACCTCAGAGTTCCATGTGTTCCTCACTCTTATTAAAGCTTGCTCTCCGCTAAATGTATACAATTTTTATTTGTCATTTATACCTCAATAAAGCTGGGGAGTAGGTGTGGGAGGAAAAAGCTTGCTCTCCTCGAGCCCACAGCAATCTTGTGCAGATTTTAGCTAATTATGAGTGGGCCTCTAAAGAGAAGAAAAGGAGATTGAAGACACAAGAATAAGAGAAGCATCAGTATGCTGGCTTCTTACTAAGACCGTGTCACCAGCAGCAGCACCAACGTGGCTTTGTGGCGAGGATCTGCTGCTTTGCTGTGAGCAGTGAGTCAGGGTAATGCAAGCTTTCGGAGGGCAGCTGAGGCTGGGTGGAGATGTAGGGACCCTCTATATTAGAAACCGTCTCTACAGCCTTATTACATATTTTGCCTTATTATAGCCTTGAATCGTAGAAAGCACTTAACAGGAACATACCCCTGGCATAATCGGTAACCCCTCTAAAGAACAGGCCAAGATGTGAATTGTAGGGAGAAAATGACATCAGAATCCTAAACCTTTTGTAGATATCAAGTTTACATTTCAAATTTAAAGGGGCCCCTGCCAAGACTGAGCAATGGAGCCAAAAATAATTTACTTCTGCCATCCATCACTCCTACAGCTTTAGCTCAAGGCAGCAAAGCAGTTTATAGGTCAAGGATCTTGGACCAAGACTTTGAAGTGTCCAGCTCTCTCTCTGCCTCTGAAGCCCCGAACAGGACTTGCAAGAATATGTCTGAGCAAGATGCCCCTTCCTTGGCTGGGAGTTTTTCCTGCCTCTGTAGAGAGGACTTCCCCGGGGGCAGCCCTGGGGCAGCCCTGGCTCTGCAGAGACTTCGGGGTGGAAAGCAGGAGTTACAGGCAACAGCCATTCCTGCTGGCCAGGCCAGCCTTTCTCTAGAGCCCAGGGCAAGTCAATTAACCTCTCATTGTTTCAGAGTCCTCATCAGTGCAAGGAGGATAATGCTACATAACCTGTCTCACAGGGAGGGTGTCACAAGGAAACATTAAAAAGCACTTTGAAAAATACAGTGGAGAGGAACTGATACTCTGAGTTTTACAAACGGGGAAGACATATTATTTCTCTTTTTAATGTGGAATACATACATTATTTCTCTTTTTAAGTCCTGATGCCATTCCAGCACACCTCAAAGACATGCCAGCCCCTCTGTAATTTTGGCAGACTAACCAGCCTAAGCGGCATATCATATCCTTTCTCCGAGATGATGATGTACTCCCTAGATTAGAGTGAAAAATCAAGCCTGTCCCTTAAACGTCATAGGAAAACGGCTGTGTCTGAGGCTGGTCACTCAATAGTGTCCTGGAATGCAGCTAAGTTCCTTTAGCGTGTATACTGTTTGCTAGGTTTCAAACAGGATTAGGCTGAAGGAGAAAAATCCCCTTAAAGCCATAAACCTTTTAAGAGCTCTATCCCACAAGGGATTATTGACCTCAAGTCCCTTCTACCCATCACTCTTGCCTCCTGCAGCTCAGACTCTGTGGACAAGTACATCCCTCGAGTCTTCATATGTAATACACCCTGAAGGTGGGGGATGGAGAGGTAAGAGTAGAGTTTTCAAACATGTACCTACTGGTTTACTAGTGGCTAAAAGCAGTGCAGGTGTGGAGGGGAATGAAGGGGTACCTAATCAATGGTTTCTGCCAATCTATGACCAGCAAGAAGAATTTTACATCTTTAAGTGAAGGAATCAATTGTGTCACCAGAAACTCATAAAACTAAAATGGCAGGGTATGGTGCCCAGAAGGGTACAGAAGAGTCTGCGGCTCTCCACACTGAAGGGTGGGGTTTAGGGGTTCACTCTCGGAAGCAGAGACCAGGGTTTTACCTGTAAGCCCTTGTAAAGACAGCATCTCAGACACAGCAAAAACAGAACTAGAGGACTTTCTGATAGGTGATTTCTTGGGAACCAAGAGATAATTCATACCAGAGATATCAAACAAGGAAACATGGTTTTTCTAGATTTAAGAGGGGAGAGGAGGAAAGAGGCAGAGTCTGAGCTCCCCACTTAGGGCTGGCATATGCAAGTCACAAGTGCTGCCACTCAGAATTAAGGAGGTTCTGGGCTCCCCAAGAGAACATGTCTAGATCCTTATTCAAACCAGGAGAAGGAGGATTAGGTATGCTCTGAAAAAAGCGGGACGCTTCTGTCACCTAGAGAGACACCATTCAGAGCACAACATCTACTCAAGTTTGTTTAAAAATGCATTATGTTAGTGCAAAACTGGAAATCTGCGTGCCCCACAATATGGACTCAGTTCCATTCAGCCATCACATCATGGGGTTCCGGGTAGCTATCGAGTAACAGAGAAGGCTATTTAGAGGTAAGGAAAGGTAGTCACGATATATTATTAGATGAAAACTAGCTGGTTTAAAAATAATCTCATCTTGTTTATTAGTATGTGCACACTAGCATATATATTTACACATGTATACACAGGTTCAGAGAGGAAAACCAGAAGATTGCTAAATTGTTAAACATCTCTTGGCCACTTCTGGGGGCTTTGCATCACTTAATCTTACCAATAACCCAGTGAAGCAGGGTATTATTTTCAACTTCAGAGAGGAGGAAATAGGCAGAGGTTAGGCGACTAGTTCAAGGTCATACCAATCCTAAGTGGCGGGCAGCGATTACACCCCTGCAGTTAGCTCAAGTGCCCACATTCTTAACCAGAGCTGCTGTGCTGTGTGGAGAGAGGACTTTTCCTTTTTGTGCACATCTGTATTTTCTACCATAAAGTTGTATTTTTCTCAGCAAAAAAGCCAACTTTGTTTTTAATGTGATAAAATACATTAAAGGGAAACCTATGCTTATTCTAGAAGCAACAAAAAGGAAGAGAAGGACAGGAGTTGTGATTATCTCAACCTGGAAGACTTAATTTTCAGAACCGCTAGCTAGACACTGTGGTGTCACTGGAGTGTCAGTCCACAGATATCTAGGCACATTTTGTTCCAACTCCTTTCCCACTCATTCTCAAAATAAAAACAAGCACCATGTTTTCTCAGGCAAGGCCAGGGCTGGATAACGAGTGGGCGGCAGGGCACTGTGATAGCTTTGTGGCTAGACTGACCTGGGTTCATATCCTCTGCTCTTCGTCAGCTACTTTACCTTGTGCAAGCGACTTAACCTTGGTGAACCTCATATTCTGCATCCATAAAAACAAGGATGCTGCCACCTACCATGTAAGATTAATGTTGATAAAAGCAGCTGGCACATAGGAGAGACACAATAAATGGTAGCTATAATATTATGGAACTTATGCCAACCTCTTAATTTAAAAAATACACACACCCCCCTTCAAATTGGAGGTCACCTCCTCACAGCTATATTCACCGAGAATGGCCTTTGGCAGGTACAAGCAGAGCTTCCACTGGCCTGGTCTCTAAAGGCCTTTTAATGAACAGCCCACCATATGGAGACAGGAACCAGGAATGGGCTAGCAGCTTAGGGGAGCCGGGGTGAGCCAGAAAGGTTCAGTTCCAGATTGGTTTGGAGACGTTGATAACCCCCATCCTGTACAGAGAAAGTGTAAGTCGAAAGCCGAATGAGGGGCATGCTTCAACCCTGACTTACACCATCTGTAAGGGAGCTCTTCTCCCCACAGTAAGAGGGAAGAGAAGTTTAAGGGGAAAAAAACAACAAACAGAGGTAATGGTGGGAGCAGTCAGGCAAAGATTAATTCTGCATCTAGTTCTAATCATTGACCTAGCGGTAATGGGGCAGAGGCCTGGTTTGGGGCTACCACAGACCCTGCGCAATGTGACTTGGAGTAATTATTTGCCCCCTCTGGGTTTCCGTTCAGTGAGGAGGCTGGGTTTGAATGTGCCTGAGTCCTCTTCCAGTGCATCACATGTCAAGCAGGAGAGTTAATCCAGGGAGGCACCACTGTCAATTTCATCAGCCATTTTCAGCTCTGGCTTGTTTACCACCTCCCACAGCAAGTGTTAACTCCCCAAACACCCACGCCACTACCACAAAACCTTTCTCTTGGATGCAGATCACTTCACCGTGGCATGAGCCAACTTTGCCAAGACTGCTCCAATCCTAGTTTTTAGAACTTGCAATATTTTCATGTCCCTTCCCTCCTACCCAAACCCCCCAACTCAAAAAAGAGTAATGTCTATTACCCTATAAAGTCACTAGGAAAATGCTCAAGTGCCTTCTGGACAAACTCAACCTCATTTGAAAGATGAATAATCGAATCAGTTTGAAGATACTGCTACAGAGAGGAAGTAAATGTGATAAAGTATGTTGAAGGAAGAAGAGAGGGAGAGAAGTGGGGGAAGGGGAAGAGAAGCCAGAAGCAGAAGCAGAATTAGAATTTGACCTGAGTTTATTGGCAGCTCTCCCAATGGCCCCCTCTGGGGCTACCTGCAAAACCTATCCCTTTGGAAGAGCAAGAGCCCCACCACTTTATGGATTCAACCTCATTTCCTGAGAAGGGGTTGGGGCAGAGGAGCACACACCTCTCCCCAACCTTCCTAAAAGATAAACCATCCGCGCGGCATTTTGCACAGGACCCCACACTGGCATGCCACCTTCTGGCCAGAATCGGGGTGGAGTGAGGAGGCACAGGCCCCTGCTGGGAGGCGGTCTCACTGGCACGACCAAGGCTGCCCGTGAGCAGACCGTCTCCTCTGACTCCAGTAATTCCCCGAGGTAACACGGAAGCTCGCCCGCCCTGTTTTACGTGGGAGGAAAACCGACGCTCAGCAAGTTGAGCGCCGTGTGAAGAGCTCCCAGATAGAGTCAGGACTCAACCCAGCGTCTCTCGGCTCCTTGCCACGGCCTTTCCCCCTCCGCCTAGCTCCTGGGGAGGAGCGCGTCCCCCCGCAGCCCCGGGGCAGGCAGTATGGCGGAGCTCAGGGCAGACCTCTCCCCACCCCTCCCCCGGCGGCGCGGGGAGTCTTGTGCCACGGCCACTGCCAGGTGGCCCGGAGCCAGGTGGCGGGGCTGTCCTGTCAGGGGAAGGAAGCAGCCAGGCGGCCGGCTAGGAGCGGCTCCCCCTCGGTCCCCTCCGGGCTGCAGCTCCTTTCTGTCTTCTTCTCCTCGGCAGCTCCCTTCCTTACCTCGCCACAGGCGGTGGCTGAGACCCCGCCTGCCGCCCCGCAGCATCCGAGGCGTCCTGCCTCCACTTCCCACGCCCCCTGCGCACCACTCTCTCCCAAGGGAGGCCTTCCATAGCAGAGTCCAGGCAGGGACGCCTGACTGGGTAGAATGCTGGAAAAACAATTTAAGTCTGCGGTTCAAAAGGCTGAACTCATGACCATAGCTGGGGTCTAATCAGGGATTCCAGGGGGTTAATCATTTGTCAGTCTTCAGCACCAACTGAGTAAACAGTCAACTAGCCTCTCAGGGATCTGGCCATCAGGGTCCTGCCTCCCCACCGGTGAGCCTGTGGTCAGACAGAAGCCAAAGGGCAGAGAAATCCACCTCACAGTATTTGCAGGGGAGACCTCCAGGGAGCAAGGAGAATGTGTCCACATCCAAAGGGTGCAATTGACTCCCCCAGTCACACACCCAGACTGTCCAACCCCAAATGCCAGCCTCCCAAGGGGCAGACTGCTGCATGAGGTGAACATTAATTTCAGACAGAGAAAACCAAAAGATTACTGTAGCCAAGTATTGACCACTCTCCAGACAGGAGAAGCTAAAATAATACGGTTTCCTCCTTGTGGTTACTGCTTTTTCACCTGGAGAGGGAAGCCCAAGTTGAAGAAAGAGAAAGGCTCAAACCAAAGCAATGGAAAAATCAATTTACACTCCCATCGGCCAGAGCTAGTCTGAGACTCCTTCTAATCTCTATGGTCAAGAATAGCACAAGAGTCCTTGGGGTCAGGCATTTCCTGTCTATTGCTTGGGCTGGGGCCCCTCGGTGTGGCCAGAGGGCCTCAGCTTGTCACAGCTGCCAAGCCTTCCCACCACCCCACTCCTCCCGCACAAAATAAGTATTATTGCAATGCTGGGACAGGCTCTAAGTGCCCTCAAAGTTAGACTATCTGCCCTCAGATGAGACGGCACAAAAGCTAAAGGTTTTCATGCAGGCATTTACTCGTCCATATTTTACATTTAACTGATTAGAATGTTCTACCTGATGCACAGAGAATCCTGTTCATGATTTTTTTCTCCGCTGTGTTTGGCATTGTACCACTACCACCACCTATAAACATCCTCAGCTTCTTTTCTTATCTAGCACCTGGCCAGTCCTCAGAAGAATCACCTCCAGATAGCTCCTCAGCAGCGACTCAAGTGCTCAACGTTTGTATTTCATGGAATCATGGACTTGGAAAGCCCTTAGCTCAGACTCCTTCAACAGACAGGAAACTGAGGCCCAGAGAGGGAAAATGACCAGGTCAGAGACCAAAACGCAGTTTGCCCGAAGAGTTATGGCCAGAATCTCAATTTTCTGATGGCCTCTCCAGTGATCTTTCCATCTCTTTAGTATAAAACACTACTTCCAAAACAGCCAGCCCAAAAAACAAAAAACAGCCAGCCAGATAAATCTGGGGCATATACCTTTTTTTTTTTTTTTTTGGTCAGGGTTTTCCAGAGGAACAAAACCTATAGGATGTGTATATATAACAAGAGTTATTATCAGGAATTGGCTCATGTGATTATGGATGCTGGTGAGTCCAAAATCTGCAGGGTGGGCCAGCATAGAAGAGCTGATGCTGCAAGTCCAGTCCAAAGGCTGTCTGCTGGAGAATTCCTCCTTGGTCAGAGAAATCAGTCTTTTTGTTCTATTCAGGCCTTCAACTGATTGGATGTGGCCCACCCCTATTATGGAGTTCAATCTGTTTTACTCAAAGTTCACCAATTTAAATGTTAATCTCATCCAAAACCTCTGTCACAGAAGCACCTAGAATAATGTTTGACCAAATATCTCTGTATCTACTGGCCCAGCCAAGTTGATACATAAAATTAACCATCACACACTGTAGCTAAAAAAACAGCTGCAATAATTCCATCATATGCCAAAATTTACCCATAAAACATCCTATTTTTCATAAAAACCATTACTATATACAGATAGTTGAATGGGGACTCAGGCATATGCACTGTAGAGGACGGCAGGGAAGAATCAAAATTAATATTAATTAAAGATCTACACAGACACATGCGTGTGTGCAGGCACACACCCCCACTGCAGAAAGAGATGCAATTTAATAATCCATTTCACTAAAGGATGAAAGGGAAAACAGACTTAGAATGCACATGGGGTATATGTGGGATATAGGAGCTGTTAACAAACAGCTTTGTTCTGCGAGAGTTAATGCTGGAATCCCATGTTAAGGTTACCAGATGGGGCCAGGTGACCTCAGGAAGTCTTTTTCCAACCCAGATGATTCTGTGATCACCCTTCCACTGGAATGAACAGTCCTCAAGAGAATGTTCATCACAGCAAACAGGGAGAGAGGAGTGCTGGGACCAAAGGGTTCGAGGCATACATTCAGTTGCCCTAGTTTCCCACTGAAGATTCAACAGGAAAAACTGCTCTTCTAATTCTCGGCCCAAAATAACTGTTTGGCATTGTTGATGAAGAACGGCTGGTGTGTCCCAGCCCAGTTCATTTCAGCAGTGGGTAAGTGACACCTCTGTATATAATCTGCCAAGGTGTTTTCCAACAAAGAGAAAGCAAGAATAAAAATGTAGAGATGTCACCTGATGCCTCAATTTTCCTGCCTCATTAAATTTTAAACTCATAGCTAGATTGTTTTCAGCATAAAGTAAAACATTTATATACACTTAAAAGCACCTTTTTAAAAATTACCTTCTTGTCTTACTCTTATTTCCATAAAAATAACAGATTATCCAAAAAAGCCACATCATAGGAAACTATAAGAGACATGATCCAGTTTCTTCACAACAATGACAAAAATGGGAAGAAAAAAAAGAAAGGAGGGAAACCTATAAGTCAAAAAACTTGAGATGTATCAACCAGCCTCAATGTATAGACTTTATCTGAATCCCAATTCAAAAATAAATTACAAGACAGTTGGGGAATTGTGAATGCTGACCACATATTTGATATTAACAAACTTCATTTTTAACGTGTTGGTCCCGAGATTAAGTTTATAAAGAGTTCTTGTATCTTTAAGAGATACATATTGAAATATTTACAGGTGAAATGGTATGCCTGGAATTTGCTTCGTTTGATATTATATGTCTGGAATTCCAGGACAAAGAGGAGTGGGCAGGGATACAGATGAACAAAGATGGCCACATATTGATCACTGTTGAAGTTGGGTGGTGGTATATGTGGTTTTATTACACTATTCTGTCTCCTTTTGTATTTGCTAGAAAACCTACTAATAAAAAGATTTAAAATGGAAAACATAACAAAGTATTTTTTCCTGAAATTTAAGGTTGATTATATTCATTTAAATTCCGAGCAGACCATAATCAAATGTCAGTGACTTCCACAAAAGGATTAGCCTGCTTTTACAAAAGTATGCCAAATCAGGAGTGATTATAGTGCTTAATATTGAATAGAGCCCTGGGAGAACTGAGGGGAGAGGCAGGGGGGTAAAGAGACTAAAGAAACTTAAGTTTGATGATTTTGAGTCATTTTTGTCTTTTTATGAAACAGAGAAATAGCTGTTATGTCCAAAATAGAATCCGAATCCAGTTTCCACTTTCATCTACTTTTATATTTCCAAAGAACCCAAAGAAGGCTGCTGCCACAGCGTGTGCTTGTTTATGTCCACCATTAGTGCAGCAACTCTACACTCAAGACCAAGGGGAAACAAACCCAGCTGGGGTTCCTGGAGGTCGTGACAACTCAACCTGGAGGTCCTCTTGCAGAGGAACTGTATCCCCAAGAAAGTCAAACTAATGAAATGACATGAGTGTCCAACAGATTAAGCACAGTGATAATTGGTCATCCCCAGAATGATCTTCTAAGGGGGTGAAAAATGTAAGCGTGAATGTAGATGAAAAGGAAGATAATACACCAACAACTTATGAAAATACGATCTCCTTGAGATGAACCCTAGCAGGAACAGAATTACTTTGCTAGTCAAAACTGAGAACTTTTAAATTCAGGTAGTGCCCTTCTCAGAGAAGCTCTGAGGATGCCATCCAAATTTACTCACACCACATTACAACAAGAGCAGCTAGAAGGGATCATGCTCCCACTTTATGCTGGAAACCAAAAGCTCGCAGATATTTTCCATTTTAGCCAAGGGTGCATGGTAAGTCTATGGTGCACAGAACCAGTCACAGGACACAGCTTTCATCCGGGAAGTGATGCATCTGCCTCAAGAGGGAGATAATAGTGTCCACGGCTCATTCACAGCTTGAACACCATGGTTCCTAAATCATTCATCAGGCTCAAGCTGTCTGGGTTCCTTACGCCCCTTTTACCTCCAGTTCCTAGCATTTCCTGTAGAGAGCAGCCATACTATACAAACTTATAAAGAGAATAATAGTAATTTTCTTGGGCATGGGTTCTTAGTTTGAGGGCCTTCACGGTCCAAGAACTGCCTGAAACCTTATGTGGATATGTCTGTTGAAATTTTCTTCTGATGCGAAGGCCCAGAGCTTTCCCTTGGACTCTGAAGAGATTCACGGCACAAAAACGAACCAAAGAAAAACCCTATTATAAACCTCCGCTACAGAGGACTCATGCTACATTCCTTATCATAGCATTTCAGAAATCATCCAGAGTGGTTTTAGGGGAGGGGGATAAGAGCAATTTCAACACTACATGCCATGAGATCTTTTGGCAGGCTGGAGAAGAGAAGATACTGACAGTAGCACAGACGAAAATCTCAGTAAATTTCAAATAGAGGATGGAGCAGAATGAAAGACCTGGCAAACGCAACCTGCCTGATCCAGTTTGCTGATCTCATCTAGCACCCTATTTTACAGATGAGTCAGCCAACAGAGACCCAGAAAGGTTAAGTGAATTACTCATAAATACACCAGTTAAAGGCAGACACAAGCCTAAATCACTGGCATCTCAACTTTTGTTCCAATCTCCCTTCTACTCAACCCAACATAGCCTACGGCACTTGCCTAAAACATTCACTCTGGCAATTTGGGCCTCCCAGCATCATCAGTTCACCTGCTTTTCACTTCCTAATCACTTGCCTTATGTGGCAGGTGCACTAAGAGGGAGCTGAGTTGCTCTTCATGCCTCTAACATGCCTTTCCCGGATGTAGCTAATTTATGCAAGTTTGACCCCAAGTTTACGGCTCCCATCAGCTGCTTTCTTGGGCAGTGAGTCAAAGCACATTAGTCAAGCCCCAACCTACACAGGACACAAAATGCTTTGTTAGTTAATCCTTCTCTTCTCAAAGAAAAAAGAATTAAAATCTGGCCGAAGTCACCAACTCATTCCTAACAAATCTTCAATCTTAGCAAGTCATCCTGCCTGCAAATCATAACACAGAAATACTCAGGTGAAGAAGGGGATTCTGGGAGTAACACAAAACTCCGCAATATTAGTATCCCCAGTTAACACTTACCAGTGAGTAAAGAAGTGCACCACCCATGTTCATCCAACATGACCCATTACTACTAACACCGTTTCTCAGATTCACCCTCTTTTCTATTACATCTTTTTGCTTCTGCTTTAATAGCTTTGCATTCTCTGTGTGGGCGGTGGTGCAGAGATGCGCCAGGGGGCAGGGGTAGGCCATCTACAAGCTAAATGTTACTGTAGAGACTATATCCACAGATGAGAGACTCTCACAATTTTTTTGTGTGTGGAACACTTCTTTAAACGATTCCTCATTTTACAGATAAGGAAAATGAGGACTAGAGAAGATAAATGCCTTGTATGAATCCACAAAGGTAGTGAGCTGGGGACACAATTGGGACCACCTTTGACATGACCCAATTCCTTTAAAATACGGTCTCCCCTGCACCGGACTGTCTCCCCATCAGCTCTGTCATATTTATGGGTTTAGTGCTCTGGCTTTAATGACAGCTTCTCACTGGCGCTACCTTCTTTCCTCCCATTTCTCTTGTTCTCTTCCAGACTCTTCCTGATTTTTTTTCTATTGTGATTTTAATTATTTTTCCTCTAAAAAAACTTAAAAAATGTTCTTCAAACTTAACTTCATGTGACCCTCAGAAATGGTCTTGATTTAACAGGTTTGGGATTATTTCCTTTTTTTTTTCTCAGAGAAAACAGACATCTCGTTGGCTAGAAAAAGGCAGTCATTCGAATTAGCATAGACTTAATGGAGTGTTATGGTAAACAATGAATAAGTCCAATCCCTTGGTACAGCATTTGAAAGAAAAGTCATCATAAAAGAGAGAGACACAGAGAAAAAAGAAAACCCATGAAGCATCAACCTGAAGAATCTTTAAGGACATTTTTCCACTCAAACTATGAAATTCTCTCATTAAAAGGGGAGACTTTTTCTTCTGCAGTATCATTTTTGAAACGCTTAAAACAAACTATCAAATTATATTACATTTCCTTCTGCAGTGCTAGTTTTTGGCCAAACGCACCTTACAGGCTACTGGGAAAGGAGGAATAGGTGTCAGCGAGCCCTGATACATTCTAACATCACCACCACACACATCATCTTGCCAGTGAACCCCACGCCTCCCAGGTGTGAGCCATGTCAGCAGACAGTATTAACTGCTAACATTTAGTGAGTTGGGCTCACATCAATATCTGCTATAATTGTCAATCTTCCAAATCCAGTGTCTCTTCTCCTTTGATCTCACCATCAACACTGTAAAGTGCTTGGTATATAATAAGGATTCAGTAAATGACTGCAGAAAATACTACTGAGATGATCTCCTTAGAAATTCTCTCCTTCCTTAGCACCTGCGATACCTCACTGTCCTAGTCCTCCTTGTACTCCACTTGCCACCCTGTCTCCTCTTCTTA